ATTTTGATTTTCACCTCTGTGCAATAACAATCGCTGGGGCTCGGATCCAGTCTGGTGTCGCGGACACGCGGGGCGTCACGCGCTCCGTCTCCGTGTCTATTTTTACACGCGTGTTTGAGGAATGGAGGCAGACTGCCAGCGTCACCGTGACTCACGGGCCGCTCACGAGACGAAGCCCGATCAGCATCCAGAGCCGCTTCGCTTACAGACACTTGTTGAGCAACTCGGAGGAAACTCAGTCTTTCAGGAGAATTCATTAAAACGTCTGGAGGAAGAGTCGCTCGACATCCTGCATCTGTTGTTTAGAGGCTCTGAGGTGAACGAGTTTGAGAGTTAGAGGCTGAAGAGGTGAAGCTCTTCTTCATTTTGCTCATAAACTGACTGTTTGGTTTTACTCTCACTGATCTCATGGCGTCTTTTGGAGCAGAAAAACATTTTGCCTCCTGCACAACCCCAAACAGGCAGAATTAGCAGCCGGGTGCTGAATTTAGTGCAGCGTTTAGCAGCTTAGGAGTCTGATGTTCCCCTCAGGAGCTGTTGGAGAACAAAATTAGACTTTCAAAACAACTGAGTAGCCAAAAGAAAACATTTTACCCAAATTAAAAGCCTTTCTTTTCTTTTTAGACGTTGGGATTGTTCCTTGTGGTTTTATTTCTTCTAGGCTGGACTATGTTGACTCCATGTTGGTCAGAATGGTCTCTGTTCAGTATATTAACCATAAAATATAACTTCAGCTCATCTGTCAGACCTCTGAACTCAAATCCAACGCAGGAAGTTTCACTAGCAGTTTTAAAATATGAATTAAAAACACATTTTTACTCGCCGCCTTTTCTGTTTGAGATGCACTTTCTGTTTCTATGTGGGTGTACAGCACTAATGACTGCCCCGGTAATTCGTCATATAATTATCACTTTTGCTGTAATGCTTGTATTGTTTTTTTGTTTTTTTTTTTTTTTTTGTTTTGTGCAGAACGTTCTGGGTGTGTTTTTGGCACATTTTCACTCACTGTGGGCTCATTTTTTACTGCAACATAAAGTCCTGCAGCTCTGTGGAAGCAGAACAACCTCGAAGAAGGAGAGAAAACTCTGAAATGTCTGTGAAATAAATCATAAAAAGTTGGATTATACAGATTATTTATGGCACAAAAAGCAGTAATCAGTGTGTACAAGATTTCTCCAAGTGAAAAATGGAGGCTGTGGATAATTAACTACGTAGATTTTTGTCTGCTCGGTGTGAACACATCCTGCAGTTCAGTCGAACAGCTGCAGGATTTTTGTCCCGTGACTGTTAGTTGCAGCCGAGTGGGTTCATGGCTGCACTGAATAGCGCAGAATCTTTTGTTTTTTACAGAATCTGGTTAGAAGATACAGTTAACTTTAGTAGACATGTAGCATTGAGTAGTAATTCTGATGAACTAGTGCAGTTTTAAGCTCCTTAGTTTGTGCCGAGGAAATCTCTTGTTGGTTTTACACAATGGTTCTGTAGGGTTTGTTTTTTTAAATGAGACAAACAGAATAAAATGAGATTTTCTAGTTGGAGCTGCAGGAAACACATGATTAGCTCAAGGACGCCCAGAAACTTTAAAATCAGGCAGTTTTTACAGGTTCTAGCTCTGATAGATGGTGTCGTTTTGGCATCATTAGAAACTTTTTTGTGTGTTTTTTTTGTATTCAGAGCGTTAAATGTTCTGTATTTATTTACTGATTTGACTAAAAGGAGATTAAACAATCATCAGGTGAGCAGAAACGAGGCTTTAAAAACAACGCTGATGTTGCTTCGTGCTCGCTGTGTCACTAAAACCTGTTTAAGGGGCTTCTGAAGGTGAAACTATCAGTCGTATAAAATAGATTTTTCCTCAAATACTCTTAAGTGAACAGAAAAGACATGACCTCACAGGATTTAAAGGGATTAAAGTCGTGTATGTTTGTCAAAGTTTCTCAATCACACGATGCAAAAACACACAAATAGAAAGAAAACAACCACCTCAGGAGCAGTGAAATGTTCCTAAAACCGTATCTGAAAGCATCACTTTTACTTTTTTGTCTTTACGTGATGCTTTTGTTTGTCAGACTCCCGTTCCTTGGCCTCACACTAACCTGTTTTATCTATATAGGATCAGTTGCTGGTTATAATCAGTTTGATGCGCGGCGTTACGCTGCAGCACGCCGCCGCCGCCGCCGCCGCCGCCGCCGAGATACTTCAGCTGCCCAGTAACCGTCTACTTGCATTGACTTTTGGCTGCAGGAGAAGCCTGTTGCCGTGGATACGTCTCTCCTCCCTCTTTCTGTCTTCATTTTCCTCCTCTTAACACATCTCTATCGCTCCTTCGTCTCTCCCTCTCCGCCTCCTCCTCCTCCTCCTCCTCCAGTTTGTTGAGGTGTGGTTGCTGCTGAGAGATTTACCTGATGCCTGATGCGATGCTGGTTATTGTCAAAAAATACACTCAAGATAAGCTGGAGAATACACCTTTTCTTTTTCCATCTCCTGAGTCAGTCTGTGCTGAAGTTAGAAGCCCTGCAGGCTGGTGGGAGTGCGATTTTTTGTTTGCTCTGTTTATTTATCTTCTCATCACTCGCATGTCCCTGAGTAACCCTGCTGGATGCAGCTGCCAGCGCGCCATCGATCCGTCCTCCCGTCAGTCTTATTCGGTCTCGTTGCCTCCTCCTCACCTGTTTCGCAAGCCTCCATGCGAGCGTCATCCTCTCCTCCGCCGACCAGCCTTCATCCCTCTCATCACTTTCTCCCGTTTCGTTCTTCCCCTGTTATCTCGGCCTCCCCCCTCGTTTCCTCTGCAGATTTAAGCTCCTTTCCTTCCTCTTCTGCACACATCCAGGAGAGAGGCGACTGCCCACGCACAGCATTAGATAAAGACTGCATCGCTTTGGCTCGGCTTCGGCCCCCAGAGCGGCTGGAGTCGAACCGGCGACCGCGCTGGAGCTTGTAAGTCGGAGCGACCCTGTTTATGGGATCACGTCTCGGGCCTCCTCTGCTGTGATCCCGATAAGCCTCCTGCTGCAGCTGACCTCAGATAAGGTTGTGAGTGTATCCGCAGCCTCGGGGCTCACAACCTGCCAGGTTAATTCAGTTTCATACACAGGATATCACAGGATGTCTATCTTCTCGCTGCTGCTGGGTCTGATTCACTGTAATGAACTAAATTGTGGGTTTCTTTCACCCCTCTGATGCTCTCTGCGCTGAAGAACAGCTGCTCTTTGTGCACTGTGTTAGTTATTGTTAACGTGTCGAAGTAAAATCAGTCGTAAGGGGTGTTCTTTATTAATGCCATCAGTCGTGTTTATTCGTTTTCAGAGAAGCCAAATGCTCGTGTGGCTTCCAGGTCAGACTGACCAGCGAGTTGTCTGCTACACAACTAGCATCGGAAAAGCGAGTAGCTTCATCGTGAAGACGCCGTTTTCTGCAGCGCAAATCTGTCAGCAGGCGAAACAACTCAGCGAGTGTCTGTCTGGTGTTTTATTCAAACTTTTGCAAAGTTTTCTGCAGCTCAGGGCAAAGAAAAAACACCACTAGAAGTTAGAGCTGCAGAGAAAAAGGAAAGAACCTCGAGGAGCCTTTTGAGGTTCAAGAAGGTTCCTTGAGGAAGAACGTGCAGCAGAGGTTACTCGACGAACCCCTCAAAGCGTCGTTTTGTGAGGTTTTGTTTTCCACTTTAATGTCTGAATTCTTAGGATGGTAGAAAACTTTTTTAAAACTCCCAAATATAACAGAAATATGGGAGAATATTGTTGATATTCCTACATAAAGAGAAGAGACTTTATGCTGTATGAAGTATCACAATGTACATAATGTCAATAAATGTAAGTTTTGAAAAAAGAAAACCAGGTGTAAATGCAGACTAGAGGTTGCTCCAGTCATCTCTTCTCTAAACTGAGCTGTCAAAGGTTCCTGCAGGAACGCCAGAATATCCGCAGAGTTCCTCTAAGTTTGGCACAAACTCTCTCTCATGGCTTCACAGGTTGAGGTCGCCGTGAACTAGCACCCAGAGAAGGTGTGAAGACAGTTTGTTTTCATGCTGAAAGTTGAGAGAACAGACATCATAATGGTATTTTCATGTGCATTTCTCAACCTATAGAATGCAGACAGACTCCAGATGCAGGTAGATGGAGGCCTTTACATCTCTAGGAAGCTGTTTGTCTGAGAAATGTGGAGTTTCTTACGTAGTGTGGTATCTTACTGTAGAGCGACCCACAACGAGCCATTTGTAATGATGCAATAAGCCCAACAGATTCTAAAAGAGAAGTCCAGCTGGTTTTTACTGAAGCTCTTGGGATTTTTAAGTGGATTTAGCCACAACTGCACCAAATCCTTAACAGAAACACTCTAGATTTCCTTTTAAATAAGACCAACAAACTGTTTTTTTAGGTGATTAAGGAGCCTTTTATGAAAAATATTCTCTATGACCTGCTTCATGTGTTCAACATTAAGGAGTGGACTTCGAGGCAGCAGGTCTCAGGTCTCAGTGGGTGTTTCTGAGCAGCAACTTCAGAAAAATGAAGACCTGCAGTTCCTCAAACGTCCACTTGAGGCTGCCTCCAAAACTGAGCCACTTCCCATTGACCCCCATGTTAAAATGTTAGAGAAGAAATAATCCTGCTTACAGCCTGGAATGACAACATGTTTTAGGTCCATATAACTGATGTCTGCATTTATGACAACTTTACGTGGTGTCGATTTTAGCATCAAATAACTCCGTCGTTTAAATTATACTTAAAGTTTTGCACGATTAAGGGCGTGGTCGCTCTGAGGGACGAGTGGATGCCGTCATAAGACAGTCCATGGACCACCTCAGCTCCACTTCTTAGCTAGTTTTATATTAGACGGGCAGCACTTTGAAGACAGTCGGCTTCATCAAACTGAGCTTCAGCAGTGTTCAGTGGTCGCTTTGTTTGTTGACAATAAAGAAAACCACCAGCATTGTTCATCACCTTGATATAAACTGCCAACACGATCTCAGTCCTGACCTCCTTAACTCGACCCTCCACTCCGTTCGAGTACATGATCCTCGCCACCATCATCGCCAACTGCATCGTCTTGGCTCTGGAGCAGCACCTTCCCGGAGAGGACAAGACGCCCATGTCCAAGAGGCTGGTGAGAACATCTGCACACACACTTTACCGTCTGCTGTCAGGTTGTTGGAAGCAAAGGATCGGTACAAACTGCTTTTAAAAAGAATTAAAAAACAGACATCTGCAGCACAGCGGTTCAGATCAGTGTGAGCTAACAACTAGTTTTATTGTTTATATTTAGTTTAAGGTGATTGCATCTGTTGTCTCTGAGCACATAAAACATCACCAAACCTGAATTCTGTCAGTGTCAGATTATAAATAAAAGGTAATCATTGGCGGTGACACTTGAGGTTTCAAACACCAGAGTCTCTAATGTTTGTAGGGATGGAATTAAACTTCTAACAGCTTTAACTGAGAACACAGATTGACCAAAAGCTGTTCTTCATCTACAGCCACTTCTAGTAAACGGCTGCACTGCCCCTGCCTGGATCGGCCAGCCATGTTCTAAGATTAGATGAATAATTTTAATAATTAGGCTCCATTTTACTGCAGAGTAGATTAGAAAATTGAGGAAATTGGATTTTTTTTTTAGGATATTGCAGTAATAAAAAGAAGGATAGGTGAGGTCTGCCAGTCAGACAGACGACCCGTTATTCAACTAAAGACACTCGTATCTGAACAACATCATCAATATCATTTTGTTTTTCAATATTTTGTTCAACATCACTTCCAGTATCGTGTCACGTTTTATTCTCATGTGCGACGTCGTCAGAGTAATGTGCAGTATTTTCATATTTCATTCTCATTTTTCATGTGTGATGTTTAATTTTCCTGTGATGTGACTTCTTGCCAACATTACTTTTCCTGCCTTATTTTAGCTGCTATTTTTATTTCAGTGATGCATCATGCTTGCATCTTTTTGCTTTTTTACTTTTTAGACGCTGCATTTATTCTGATGTTGTGTCACTTTGTTTTTTCTGAGCATTATCTGGCACAATAACTTTTGTTTTCAAGCCGACTGTACTGAAGCCCGATGCTTTTAAAGTTATTTATATTTAATTCATGTTTTTGAAAGACATGTTCGTGTCACTTATAATGTCGAGATATTTAAAACGTGTCACAGGTTTGATGAGTAAAATGTCAGGATTCACTACGTTGCCGTTCCTCGCTGTGAAATCAAACCGTTTTGTTTGTCGTCTCTGCGATCGCCTGATTTCTCCGTTTCTGCGCCCCAACAGGAGAAGACCGAGCCCTACTTCATCGGGATGTTCTGCTTCGAGGCCGGCATCAAGATCATCGCGCTGGGCTTCGTGTTCCACAAAGGCTCCTACCTCAGGAACGGCTGGAACGTGATGGACTTCATCGTGGTCCTCAGCGGGTGAGTCCGGCAGCGTGTTCGTGTGTGGGAGCGGAGCCGTGAAACAGGATCAGCAGCATGAATGGAAATCCAGAACGCCGTGTTCTTGGCTCTTAATAATGGTTTTTTGTCACAGCTGTTTGGTTGCACATGTTTGACAGGCTGCTTCCTCGTCCCTCGTTGTTCTGGGGGCTTTTGAATTGTGCTGCTAAATCACGAGTGGTCTTAAAGCCACACAATGAGCGCTTTCGGGAGGTTTACTTGACGTCACCTCGACCATCTATTCTTCTATTTCTTTTTACTTCAGTCACATCACACTCTTTGGTTCTTGCTTCTTTCAGCTCTCCTCTCGGTCTTCATGTCTCGGTGTGAATGAACCCGAGAAGCTTCACGTGTTTGTACGTTATTTCGAGCTTGGAAAAGAATCAGATGATGTCATGTCGGATTATAAATTCAGAAAGATTGTTTGTGTATGTTGAGCTCAACAGGGAAGAAACGAGATGTGGGGCGACAGTGACTCTAGAAACACTTTGAGTTCAGTTGAAACCAGACGTTTACGTCCACTGTATAAGAAGGTTGTGGGGATCTGGGACTGGTGCCCTTCACCCAATAGATGGCATCATGAGGAAAGAACATGATGTGGAAATATTGAAGCAACATCTCCAGACATCAGCAGGAAGTTAAAGCTTTAAATGGGTCTTCAGATGGACAATGACCCTCAGCATAGCACCAGATTAGCTACAGAGAGGCTTCAGGACAACAGAGTCAGTGTTGTGGAGTGGCCATCACAAAGCCCTGATCTCCATCTTGGAGAACATCAGTGGAGCAAGGAGACCAACAAACCTGACCCAGTTCCACCAGTTCTGTCAGGAGGAATGGGCCAGAACTCATCAGACTGTTGTGAGAAGCTGTTGGAAGGAAAACATTTGACCCAAGTCATAGAGTTTAAAGGCAACGCTAGCAGATACTGAGGAGATGGATGGAAACTTCTGACTTTGAAGAAAGTCATAAAAAATTTTCTCTCTCATCATTTAGCAAATAGAAATAATGTTGGTGATCCTGACTGACCTGAAACGGAAAAAGTTTAGTCTGATTTAATGTCAGACGGTGAGAGAAAAAAAGGTTGTGTGTCTGTGTATGACAAAAGGCAGTAAAACCGTTCTGCTTGTTTATTTAATTTGTATGAGTGATGAACGTGTTGGATCTGTTCATAAGGACAATCCGCTGTGCACCAATTAGCCTCAATATTAAAACCACCGAAGCAGCTTCTGGACTCCACAGACCTCTGAAGGTATCTTCATCAGTCACCAAGACATGAGCAGCAGATCCGATTGGTTTTTGCAGCACATCCCATCGATCCTGGAGAATCTGGAAGAGAAATCAACACTTTTCTTCCTTGTTCACTGTCTTCAAACCATTCCTGAACAGTTCTGACAAGAACCTCCTGATAAAAGCCACTGCTGGACATTCAAACCTTTCTGGATGCTCACCTGTATCACCAAACCCAGGACAAACCTGTAAAAATCTACAGAAAATTTTGATCTGAATCTAGAAATGAGAGCAACATGCACCGCTTTGGAAAGAATTATGAGACCACCTGCTGTTTTCTTTAACAAACTCTGCACAACAGGTCAGTTTTGATCATTTTATTAAATCATAATTTAACTTACTGGTAATTTACTCACCGTTCAATCACAAAATCAGGAAATATCCACACATTAGCACCTTCTACCTCATGCACCATGTATTTATTTACTGAAACTACATAATGTTTACGTACAATTGCACCTTTTACGTCATTTTAGGCCATTACTTTTTCATAAATGTTGTGCAAAATCCAGAAGTGCAGCATCAGCTACTGTCTCTATAGTTGGCAATACACTAAATAACCTGTTTTTGTATGTGCACATTTTTTTCCTGAGCTTTCACAAACGTCCGATTGTGTAAATGCGCTGTTGGGATCGCTGCTTAGTTTCATTTTACTCTGTGCAATGACCAAAAAGAAGGAACACAGTGGTTCAATAGCTGCAGCATCTTCTAAAAATGTTCTCTAATGACGTTCTGTGATTCCACATTAAGACGCCATCAAAGGCAGAGAAGAAGATGCAAACATGGATGTAAACAAGCTGAATTTAACGTTCTGGGAGAGGAAAAAAAATCAGCTTTGTAAATGTTTAATGAAGAAATGAAAGAAATCATGCACTCAGTATGTGTTTTTTTTAGACCTCAAGAGAACAAACTGAGTTTTATTGAACACAAATGATCATCAACTGCTACGAGGAACCTTGAACGTGGATCTGTTGGTGTTGGAAGGCCGAGCTGCAGAACTTGGGTCTGTATGCTCACCGTGCACTAATCACATGGCGGTTGAAGACCCAGGAGGGCTGGCGTTCAGCGCTAGGTGTTGCATTCGAGGGCGTTCTGCAGTCTTCTCGGCAGAGGAAGGTGCATCATCGGAGCGGAGGGGGGAAATGCTTTGGGTTTGAGCAGATTAACCTCGACACCTGTCTGTCTTCTCGCTCGCATGAATGAAATATTAATCAGCGCAGGAGTACAAAGGGTGGCAGACAGGGTTCTTAGAGAATCCTACATGATTCTGGCCGTTTAATTATTGACGAGGCGTCTTAACGAAACTCCTCTCGCTGCTGGAGGGAGGAAGGACGTGAGGCCGGAGGAGAGTCGTGTCGACTGGCCGAGGACGCAGCTTTCTGCGTGACCGATATCAGAGGCGTGATTAAAACACAGTGACACAGACGATGCGTCGCTCTCACCTCACCTGCCTGAACGGGAGCAGATAAGCAGAGGCTGGAGGCTGCAGAGGCTCCGCTGAGGGCGACGGATCAGACTTTCCGTGAGCTCTGTTCATTCTCACTGATGTGCTGGTTTCAGGTCAGCGAGTGCAGAAATCAGTCATGTGGTCTGAAGGCATCTATGTGTCATTTAGTAAGATGAAGTTAAATACATCAGATAAACCAAAAGAAAAAAGCAAAGGGCCACAACATTTATTATAAAAAAGACCAAATCTGGTCTCCTCAGAATCAGCTGATTTTTTATGTGCAGTAACTTCAGGATGTTTATTGAAGCCGTGCAAAGTTTTATCTTCATACTATGAATATTTTCTGACTCACAGCCCTTGACGTACACAGAGCTGGGTTGAGCTGTTGCACCTTTTTGAGCCTTTATAGCTTCAAAAGTAAATGAGATGCATGAATGAAATGTTCACAGATGAAAAAAAAAAAAAGGAATCAGGACTAAAAGAGAAGTCTGGCGTCCAAATGAGACTTTTTTTCAGCTTTTCTCCAAAGAAAAAAGAAAAAAAATGGTGGAATATTGAACATTCAAAAATTTGAAAAACAGTAAAACAAAATGTCAACGATCTGCAAATAATGATATCTTTAGCTGGTTTGAAAACAATGAAATGGTGCGATTTAATGGCCACTTATTGCAAAAGAAGAAAAAATACAGATATTTGATATTTTTGACAGTCAACATGTAGATAAATATAATTTAGTAGATATCATCTATAATTTAACAAAACGGGAAAAAATCTGTAAAATAGCTGAAATGACAAATTACCATCTTTTAATCTTTCCAAATATCTGTGAATTATATTTTTTTTACTGATTTATGTAAAATTTGTTCCAAGATGTTCATTATAACACTGTGTCTGCTTTTACCGGTTCTGATCAACCACCATCACACATGAGCCTTAAAGTTTACCCAGAATGCACTGTTTTCTGTGGTGAATGATCAGAAACCAGAACCACATCCAGGGTACTGATGATTGTTTCTATGCCTCTGTGTCACTAAACTGCTACAGGTTCACTGCTGAAACTCTGGTACATCCCATAATACTGATTCTTGAAACTGGTTATATAAAAAATAAACTAAAACCAGATTTCGTCTTCAGATTGTGACAACCGGATGGATGTAAAATCGATTTGGTTGCAGGTTTTTAACAGAACGCAAACATGTTTTTCAACCTTGAAAATGTCTCTTTCTGCTGAACGGATGAAGTTATGACTAAAAAAAACTCTTCAGGATCCTGTAACTCTGTGAATATTCACGGCATGAAGGTAAAACTCTGCACGGCTTCATTAAATACACTGAAGCTGTTGTACATAAAACATCATGTGATTCTGAGGAAGGTCAGACCCGAGGCACTGGGTTGAATCTGAACGAGCAGTTGCGTCTGAGGGAGTAGAAATGCTCACGCCGGCCGTTTTATTAATATTCAGCGTGATGAAGTGAGCTGCAGATAGATCCCTGTCTGCATCATCATTCTGGACACAGCAACGATGAATTAATGAAACTCTTCTGTTCTGCCGTCACACGTCCAGGCCTCACGCAGACACAGCGGCCCTCCTATAGACCGTCACTGGAGGTTTGCAGCCTTATTAGACAGTGAATGAGGATGATGAGATCAGCTGATGATATTAGATGAGTCACCATCGCTGTCTATCAGTCAGTAATTAGGAGCCTCTGCAGACTGCCGGGCCGAGAACCAATACGCTGCAAACACAGACCTCCCAAGTCCAAAACCTTTTCATTTTGCTTATGGAGTGACATTTTTGTCAATGTGCAAAATAAAAATATAGTAGCGTTGAGTGCAGCTAAATCCCAGGACTGAGCTGAAGCGGCAGCAAGGAGCGACTTATTAGTCATTTAAGTCCATTTTATGTATTTTCTGGGGGATTCTTATGCATATATGACCGATGAGAGGAGAGAGAGGAGGCCAGTCATCCCTCTCCAAGACTCACTGTGGCCTCAAGTCCTTCACTTTTTAGAAAACAGCACAGCCATGGCTGGAAAAGAAAGACCTCAGCGACGTGTTCTGTGCAGAATGACACAGTTATAAAGGGCCACAAAGGGCCATAAGCTGAATTTCTTTAATTGTTTTTTGATCATCTATTTTACAAAAAAATGGAATAGCCTTGAGTTAGTATTTTTTCAACTTCCCACAGTTGTTATCAATATTGTAGTAAATGGTAGCACTTCATATTATAGATAATTTACTAATC